GGAAATTACTGGCACAGGACCGACAAATAAGGGAGGCAATAGTGACCGCGTCAAAGACTCACGAAGAGTTGTAATGCCATTGATCATGATGATAATGAAATATACTGTATTAATATTTAAATGGAGGTGAAATATAGATTATGATGGATTATATGATGGACAATTTAGGACATGACTCAGGTATATAATAAAGTATGGCAAAGATGCCATAACTTTAAACTAAGACTACATTTACCAAAACGATACTCTCAAATAATTGACTCCTGCATCTTGTAAAGATATTTCAGAATTAAACAGGAAGAAACATACAGGGAACTGAAAGAATTTACAGCAGGACTGCCACAAAGAAGTGTCTTTACCTTTTGAATACGTGTTACATTATTGTCCTAGAAAATAATACAATTGCAACATTTACCGATGATACCGCTATCATAGCAATATGCAAAACCAGCGAGGAAGCGACAAAGAAAGAGTTACCGTTAAAAACTGTAATACTTTTAATGAACACTTTTTACATTTCTTCCCAAACATACTACTTGAAATTATTTTGCAACATATAAATGCAGAAATTGTAAGACAAGCCAAGAAACAAAATAATCATGAAAATATGTCTCGAATATCAATTAACAAATGAAGAGCCTTATTTGCAATTCTTGGCCTTTCTGTCATAAAAAAAGATAACTATTTATCTACAAAATATATGTTTAACATTTTAATTTCAGTAACGTTTTACAGAACGTTTATAAGTTAAAATCGCTTTACATTTCTACTAAATTGTATAAGATTTGACGAAAAGCAAACAAGGCAAGAGAGACAAGTAAATGATCCTTTCACTCATATCCTCGAAATATGGGATATTTTCATTAAAATATGCCACACTTCATATACTCCATTATCATATCTTACAATTATTGATGAGCAACTGCTAGGATTCCGGTGAAGATGCCCTTTCAGGATGTAAATCCCCAATAAACCTTCAAAGTACGGGATTAAGATTGTTATGCTATGTGATTCCTCCAGTAAATATATGTTGGATGCAAGTCCCTATTTGGGAAAGAAAACTAATACCAATGGTTTGCCACTAGCAGAGCATTATGTCAAAGAAGTAACAAAATCTGTCCATGGATTAAATCGGAACGTAACCATGGAGAACTGGTTTACGTCAGTAAAACTAGTGGATGAATCATAACAAGAACCATATAAATTTATAGCATTAGACACTCTTCGTAAAAACAAAAGAGAAATTCCCACAGATATGTTGGCACTAAAACGATGATGGCACTAAATCGAAATGCAATTTTTTCAATGTTGTGTTATGATGTGAAGAAAACTTTGTTATCTTACGTCTTTATAAAACAGAAATTAGTTTTACTGCTTTCAACTTTGCACGAAACGGCAGAAGTATCAGAAGAAATAGGCAAGCCTGTAATTATAAGAAATTACGATAACACAAAATGAGGCGTAGATACTTTTGGCCAAATGTCTTCCAACATGAGCTGTAAGAGAAAAAACCCAAGAAAGCCGTTGTGTGTATTTTTTGATATGGTTAATATAGCCAGTATTAATTCCTATGTCATTTACACATACAAGAGGTAAAAATTACTCACATTATTTTTCATCATACAAACGACAAATCTAAATTAGTAAGTGTAATAAATTTAGAGTAATTAGAGTCATTTACAGTAATTAGAGATCAAAGAAAAATCTACGACAGACCTAGTAGTGGCCGACCAAAGAAAACTTCTGTTCGGGACGACGCTACGTTAAGAAGAACAAGTCTGGCAGACAGAAGCCTTAATTTTACCTAATTGACGAAGTTGTGGCTTGAATCTACAGGTGTAAGCGTATGCACTTCCACTCTGAGAAAAGACATAGTTTAGGACTTAAAGGATGTAAGGCACGGAAGAAACCACTGCTTTTAGTAAAGCAAAGATTGCTCCAAATGAGCCAAGGAACATCGAATCTAGACAGCAGAGCAGTGGCAGAATGTACTGTTTAGTAATTAATCCACTTTCAATATTAATAATTATGCTGGAAATGCCTACCTCAGAAGATTTACTGGTGAAGAGTTTTCTCCAAAATGTGTTCTTCCCACAATTAAACATCCAACCTCCGTTATAATCCAACCTACACGTTGTCTGTGGGATGATGAATGCTACCAAATAGAATACTGGAAAAGACCTTTCTGGCGAAAAAAAATTTATTTTTAAGGTTGATAATGCTCCTTGCCATAGAGCAAAATTGGTTAAAGTTTGGATCGAGAGTAATGAAAATGATAGGATGCACTGGCCAGCACAATCCCCGGACCTCAATTCCATCGAGAATTTGTGGTAAAGGATATCAAACATCATTTCCAAAAGCAAACTTACAAATAAAACGAAATTAATCGAATATCTAATCCACGATTGGCATTACTGTATTTCCACGGAGGGACTGCAAAAATTAATAAATTCCATGCCCAAAAGGAATGGATGTCAAACGAGAAATGAGATGAAATTTTGCATCTCATGGAGGATAGGCGGAGAAATAAAACCAACAAGACAAAATACAAAGAAGTGAACCGTCAAATTTAGAGAAAAAATAGAGAAGCCAAAGAGAACTGGGTTCTGGACAACTGCAAGGAAATAAAAGAATGTGATAGAAAGTACGATAGCTTTAACATTCATAAAAAGATTAAGGAAATAACAGGTAAAAAAGTGAAACAAGCATCCATCATAAAGGACAAAAAAGGTAAAATAATTACAGATTTAAATAAAAAACTGTTAAGATGGACAGAATGTATTAAAGAACTTTATGCAGACGAAAGACCAGATATGGAAGTGGCAAAACCTACAGACGACATAACAGGGCCTGAAATTCTAAAAAGCGAGGTAGAATATGCTATAAGAAACACAAAAAGGGAGTAAAGCTACAGGACCAGATGAAATTCCTGTAGAATTGTTGAAACTTATAGACGACGACGCACTTGAAATTATGGTGAACCTCTTTAACACAATTTATAGAACAGGCATCATACCAAAGAAATGGCTCTCCTCTACTTTTGTCATAATCCCGAAGACGAATAACGCCAGAGAGTGTTCAGACCACAGAACTATAGCATTGATGAGCCACACACTAAAAGTATTTTTTAAAATAATTCACAAAAGAATATTTAATAAATTAGAAGAGGACATAAGCGCCATACAGTTTGAATTCAGAGGTGGACTGGGAACACGGGAAGCTTTGTTTGGTCTGAGTGTGTTATTGCAAAGATGTCTGGGTTTAAACCAAGACCTCTACGTAGGTTTCATAGATTTTGAGAAGGCCCTCGATAAAGTCAGAAACCAAAGGCTGTATGAAATCCTAAGAAGCAAAAACATCGACAGTCGCGACATTAACATCATATCCAGGTTGTACTGGAAACAAACAGCAAAAATCAAAGTTGTTAATGAGTTAACCGAAGAAATTGAGATTTGTCGAGGTGTGCGTCAGGGTTGTGTGCTTCCACCACTATTATTTATTATATGTAGCGACACAATATGTCAGGAAGCACTCCTAGAGCAAGACATTGGTATAATCATTAACGGATAGTTAATTAACAATATACGATACGCTGATGACACGCCAATAGTAACAGATAACCTAGCAAAATTACAGTTTTTGATGGAAAACATAAACACTCATATCAATAAGTATGGTCTAAAACTGAACATCAAAAAGACTAAATTCATGATTGTAACAAAGAAGCTACACACCAATGTGAATTTAACCATAAATAATCAGCCAGTTGAAAGAGTAACGTCTTACAAATATTTAGGGGTTTGCTTCACTAATATTAATGACCAGACAAGAGAAATCAAAAGGCGAATAGAGAAAGCGAGACAATCGTTTGTCAAAATGAAAAAGTTTCTATGCAGCCGGGACATAAATATAAACTTAAGAACGAGAATGTTAAGGTGCTATGTTTTCTCCGTTCTGCTGTACCGCATGGAAGCCTGGACACTGAAAAAGATAAACATCAAAAACATTGAGGCATTCGAGATGTGGTGTTACAGGAGAATGTGGAAAATATCATGGACAGAAAGAATAACAAATCAAGATGTTCTGCTGAAGATGGGGAAGGAATGCGAAGTCATAAAAACCATACAAATGGAAAAACTGAAATATCTCGGCCACATAATGAGAAGAGAAAAGTACTCTCTGCTTAGACTCATAATCCTAAGAAAAATCTCGGGAGAGAGAAATGTGGGACATAGGAGGATTTCCTGGTTGCGAAATTTAAGGGAGTGGTACGGGTGCAGTTCAATACAGCTTTTCAGAGCTGCAGCCAACAAAGTAAAGGTTGCTGTGATGGTAGCCAACCTCCGATAGGAGACGGTATAAGAAGAAGAAGCCGAAAAGATGTGAACTAGTTATTAAAAACAAGGGCTGGTCAATTAAACATTAAAATTAGTTTAATTTACTTCAATGTGATGTACAATATCGTCTTGATGTAAACTTTTTTTTATTAATCAAAATTTTTGCCGAGTTTCCATTTTATAATATTGTGTTTAAGTGCTTGTTTGACGTAGATAGTAAATGGTTAAAAAAAATTTAAGGTAAATGCCTTAAACTTCTATTTTTATGTATTTGATAAGGTGATGCAGGACTTTTTAATACCACTGTACGTTTTGTAATTACAAGGCATTTTTTATAGGTAGTAAAATTTACGATAGTCCGGTAATCACGTGTGGCTAAACAAGTCCGGTAATCTAGGGTTAAACAAAACTTTGTCTTTAATGATAAACCTGTCAATAATATAAAATACTATTGCACGGTATTTAGTAGCAGGTATTAAGTGCTCTTTAATTGTACGTATCAGAAATAAAGAAAACAAAAAGCACATGTTTAATATAAATAAATATAAGATAGATAACGCTGTATTTTAGGAATTTTTATTATATGGTAATAAAATTTGATAATGATCATCGAAAAAAATTATATAAAGGCCATTGTGAATAAGTCAGTATTCTATCTGAAAGATGAATCTCATATCCTCATTTATTCTTCTAGTTTCATTTACCCTTTTGGGGGTCCATGCCGAGTTACTAGCTGTCATACAGGTATTTATTTTTTATATTTTTTATTTTAGATGGCCATAATATTTTATTAAGCGTTTATACACTTTATAAAGACGTTATTTATTTTAAAATTGTTTATAATTTGTGCGATTATCAAAAGAAATTACATATTTCAATAGATATTGTAACTATAGTATACTGTCCATTAATAAAGTACGGTAGTAATGAATTATTTTGCCAATATAAAAAACAACGCACTGTTTAATGTAAAGCAAAAGTAACGATTCTAAGGACGATTTAAATATTGCTTTAAGAACGTGTTGAAGCGTATCATCAGCGCAAATTCAAACATTTTTAGATATAATGAGCGGAAGAATACTAGTGTAGATACAAAAAAGTAGCGGACCAAGTACTGACCCTTGTAGGGCTTGTAGTTCTTGACTAGCTTATATAGTTAGTAGTCTTCCTTAACACCCTGAACTATAAGTAGGACTGAAAATGTTGAATCCAAATGTTTAACTTTCTGTGGATGCCATAATGATCCAACTTAGCTAGTAATCGACATTTGATAACGTCAACAGGATGTCGATATCGTGACTTTATTGACAGCAGCTCTAAATAACGATTGAATATAGAAGCAACTAAAGTCAATTTCTATAAAGAGGGGAGAAAACACTAAATAAGAGAAGCATTCATTATGAGGAATGTAGGGATGATTACAGATTACAGTATGTCTTTATTATCCTCCCTATCGCCTCTACGATTGTAATGGGGTAAAGATAGATAAAATGGATGATGCATAGGAGGTATAAATTGTGACATTTTGTTATATCTTTTATTTTATTAAATGATAAGGGCCTAATATCTGCGGCAACCTCCGGGGAAAAGTTTTTTAATACCTGTGCAAATTCTTGAAAATAATTCATTTTATTTAGATCTATACCATTATAAGTATCCGAGTAATCATCATTGAAAAACATTACCGACATATCTTTGTCCACCATGTTTTTTACACGAAATGGGTGGCGCTTTCGACAATTTGAACTTAATTTCATCCATGCTTCAGGAGTGTACACTGGGGTTAAATTCTGTGCCCTACTAATAAATGAAAAATCGCCATAGTTTGGTAAATATGTGTGACCAGTAACCAGATAATCTACATATATATCTTGAATGTTTGGTAAAAACGTTAACCATGTAAGTACATAAGAAAATGTAACAAATTCCAGTTCCGATTTTATCCCCCACATCAGCCACTAAAGAGAACAAGTTTTGTAGCATGAGGAGAAATGTCATTTTTAAAATAGTGCTATAAACAACTTATCACTTCTTGAGAACCTCTAGCCCCTTTGGTCTCATAAAAAATGTTCATGAAAACGTTTTCTCCACCACTTTAATAAGTATGAATTCCTAAGTTTAACAAATGCATCTGCCTTAAGTAATACACCTCACCGGTATTTATGTGAGGTAAGGAAAGTGTTCTTTTCAAATCAAATGTAATTAATACACCTGTACTGTCCCGCTTTACATATTCGTTTTTGTAATCTTTTAGAAATTTAATAGCTTTTTGAGCCAGAGCAATATGCTGGTCCCTTTCTAATTTTTACTTCTTCCGATTTTTCTTTATTACTTTCGGCATTTAAATTTATTTGAAATGTATCGCAAAATCTGCAAGTATCTTTATAGTAGCAAGTATATAGAAATGAATATTAAAATCGGTTCTAAAGATTTTTTTATAGATACTTTTTTTAAGAACTGGTTTTCCTTCAATAATTAAGTTACATTTAAACAGTTTGTACATTATGGAAATATTTAAAAAGAGTAATAAATATTGACGCTTTGAAGTTCTTTCTTCATAGTGGCTCTTAAATTTAGGAAAACTATTAATGTGATCACAAATCCACTTCAATTTCTCCTCGTTTATTTTATTTACAGGAACTTTTCTTCCTCTTAGATCGGGGGAAGGGATATCACTATTTTCGGTTTTTTTATTCTTAGTGCATAATCTAATCGATGATTACTTATTTGTAATACTTTAAAAAAAAATTACACACGTTCTGACCAATGAATTGAAATATACGTGAATATTGTTTGAGCTAGTTTGAGCGTTCCAATCCTGTAGTTTTTAAAATATGTCATGTACTTCTCTCTCGACATTCTCTGGCACTCTATTACTGCATTTTAGACGACAATTACATTCAATGTAAAAAAACGTTTTAGTGGCCATAACTTTCCCTTTTATACTAGTGTATTTCTCTCATGAAGCTCTACATGCCTTTCTGACGTATTTCCCCCATAAAGCCTCTTGTTTGATTTTCTTTCTTCCCTTTCTTACTTCAGTTTCATCCGGTTTTTAAATTTCCCTAAGATTTTCCATGTTTTGATTCAACAATACAGGTTCCTGTTCAACATCGGAATCTGTAACAAGAGAAGGTAGTTCAGTATGTTTACTTAAAAAAAAAATTATTTAACGTTGCGATGCGTTAAAGCTTTTTTAATTAAACTATTATAATGGTTTTAAAATAACTCTTAAAATACCCATTAGGGATAGACAAATTTAACAAAAATGTAGCTTTTTTTGTTTTAATATATTCATTTCTTTGAAAAATAAAAAATATGGCATCAGTGCGAATCAACACATTAATCAATCACTTTTCTTTTTTAAATCAGTTGCTTCCCTTATTGGTTACTAAACTATAATATTTTATTTAAACATGTACTTACTTGTAATTGTGTTACTATCTCTTTCATCAGAATCGCTGCCATTATTATTTGAAGGTATGTACTAATCTTGACTTGAACAGGGATAAGGTTCGGAATCAGTTTCGTCATGAAATTGTCTTGCAGCTTAAACTAGTCTACGTCTACGAGTCCTTATTGAAATATTCGTAGTCATTTTTCACATTAAAACAACCGATCTACTAACTAAATAACTGCAACCTCCCGGTTTGAGGTTAGTACCAATGACATTAGGGCCGCAGTGTTGCTGCTCTATTAATAAGTGTTGATTAATATGTTTCATATACCACTTTCGAATTTAGAATTTTTACTTTGGCAGAAATCAATAGGTCTATGATGCATAGTGTTACATAGACCCCTTACAAATTTTATCAAATTTCAATTTCCCCAAAAGTAAAAGTAATACATTGTTATTTTACGGACTCTGATTGAGATTTAGACATAGACCACTTTAGTACTGATAGATTACTAGCTTTTAAAGTCAAATATAACAAAATCTCAATTTTCATACATATGCGACATAAACTACTTTAGCTCCAGGCTAGCCATATGTTCGCCAAAGCTCACGCTTAGGTCGAGTTAAGCAAGTAGCTGACAGGTTAGTGGAAGTTTTTAGTCGATTTCTGTATAGTTGCCGTTTGGTTGTATGATCAGAAATAGTTGTAATAGGTATGTGCAAAAAACAGTCGCACAAAAGTTTTTCTTGTTCTAAGTACCAGTCTTTTGGTTATAATTTTTTCTAGAACTTTGCATGCTACATTAGTAGAGTGAGTGATATGGGACGGTACGAGTCTATATTTGTTCTGTCTTTGTTGGGTCCTAAATTAACTTTGAGAAAAATATTTCTAAAAATAAAGGATTATTGTTGGCTCTAAACCTTGTAGATTCGATTCTCAATTATAGTAAATTTTTATTTATGCTAACGTTTTTAAACAAATTTTGAGAAGTGATCAGTTTTGAAAATAAAGGGCCAGCTAATCTCTGGAAAATTAAAATCCCTAACAACAATGAATTTTTCAAAGGATGATAATTATTCTTCAAGTTTGTCAATAAGCATATCGTCCTGAGTAAGTACTGTATCCGAATCATGAAATGGATAATTTCTATACCTGATATATTAATTTTTTTGTTACCGATAAAAAAAGTATTAGTAATTGTTCCACTGTCTCCACTAAATATAGTAAAATTATTAAACTTTACAATACCATTGGTATAGAAGAATTAAACCACATTTCTGTTCTAAAAATAATTAGGTTTCAAAAGTTAAACAGCATTTTAGACAAAAGAGAGTTTGGATTCGGATATATAAGAAGCATCCTTATATTTTGGTGCCAAATTATTCTGAAGGAAATTTTCACCAAAGCTGCTGAATAGGTTTCATCAGTAACAAAATAAATTTCAGTAGATTTGTTTTCCATAAAATTATTTTTGTTACGAAGAATTTTTCATTTTTATCATTCGAGGTTAACGTTTATTTTAATTCGGTTTATCAAATCTATCAAAATTTAATATGACATTCTTGAGATCCGATGACTTCCAGGATTTAAATTATTTTTATTTTTATCATAATATTTTTACTCTGTGTGTTTTCTGGGGGTTCAGGGACGCTCCTAATCAAAAATTTATTGGAACGAGATATGCGGTCAGCGGTTTCAGTGCCAATGCTGCCGATAAATTCTACTGTTGTAATATAATTAAGTTGTTGATGGATTCGACCGTTACTTGATGGAAATTCATTTTATGTAACAATAAAACACTGAAAACTTTGTTTTCAAACTTCCACAAAATTTATTTTAGCTATTATCACTACAGCTGTTTCGGCTGATAGCCTTTCTCAAGTGATCTATTTTTGGCTTGGGTTTACAAATTTATAGTCTCTAATGAAACAGGTTGAGGAGGGGAGAACTATTTGTCTCAAGTTGGTCATTCAGAATTAAATCTGTGTTTTTTAATTTGTTGATTTCCATAGATTCTAACAAAGATAGCTTAAAGCCTTTATTTTGAATGTGAAGAATTTTAAATTTGTCATTAAAAGAATGATTATGATCTAGAAGGTGAAGTGCGTATGTCGAATCTGTTTTTCTATTCTTGAAAGCCCTTTTATGTTCTGCTATTCGTTTATCAAAGTTTCTAGCAGTTTGACCGATGTAAGTTTTTGGACAGTCGCCACATTGAAGTTTATACACACCACTATTTAAGTGTTTTTTATTTTGGCTCTTGTTATTTTTAATATATTTACCTAGATAGTTATTTGTTCGGAAAGCTGGTGTTATTCCTTTCTTTTTTATGTGTTTGGCAATTTT